TTTAATAGCACACCATTCAGTCCATGATTTTGGGTGCTTTGGGTTTTTTCCTTTGGGGTTGGTTTCCAATTTCAGTCCTTTATGGTCAGAGAAAATGCTTTGTATAATTTCAATTTTCTTGAATTTTTTGAGGCTCATTTTGTGTCCTATCATGTGGTCGGTCTATCTTTGAAAATGTTCCATGTGTTGAAAAGAATGTGTATTTAGCTTCTTTGGGATGAAGGGTTCTATAGATATCAGTTAAGTCCATTTCCTCTAGGGTGTTGTTTAATGCTGCAATATCTTTGTTGATATTTTGTTTGGAAGATCTGTCCATTTTTCATAGTGGGGTGTTAAAATCCCCTACTATAATTGTGTTGCTGTCAATATCTTTCTTGAAATCCTCTAAGATTTTCTTTATATATTTGGGTGCTCCTATGTTGGGTGCATATATATCTACGATGTTACTGTCTTCTTGGTGGATTCTTCCCTTGAGTATTATGAAGTGACCTTCTGGGTCTCTATTTATGGCCCTTTTTTTTGAAATGTATTTTGATATGAGAATTGCTACCCCAGCTTTTTCTTCTTGTCCATTTGCTTGGAAAATTTGTTTCCAGCATTTCACTTTTAATCTGTGATGGTCTTTTGTCCTGAGGTGGGTCTCTTGTAGGCAGCATATGTGTGAGTCATGCTTTCTTATCCATTCAGCAATTCTATGGTTTTTGACTGGAGCATTTAGTCCATTTACATTTAAGGTTATTATTGATAGGTGCTAATTCATTGACATTTTTGCACCTGTGTTTCTCTCTGTCTCTCTCTTTTCCTTTCTTTCCATAAAGCAGTTCTTTTAGTATTTCTTGTAAGGCTGGTTTGGTGGAGGCATATTCTTTTAGACTTCTTTTGTCTTGGAAGCTCTTTATTTGGCCTTCTATCTTGATTGAGAGCCTTGCTGGGTAAAGTAGTCTTGGTTGTAGACCTCTAGTTCTCATTAGTTGGAATATTTCTTGCCATTCTCTTCTTGCTTGGAGTGTTTCCATTGAGAAGACAGTAGCTAACCTTATTGGGGCTCCCTTGTATGATATTTCTTTTTTCTCCCTTGCTGCCTTTAAGATTCTTTCTTTGTCTTGGAGTTTTGCCATTTTAATAATGATGAGTCTTGAAGTGGGCCTGTTTGGGTTCCTCTTGATTGGGAGTCTGTGTAATTCCTGGATTTGTGTGACTTTTTCTCTCATCAAATTAGGGAAATTTTTTCTCATTACTCTTTCAAATATGTTTTCTATCCCTTGTTCTTCTTCTTCTCCTTCTGGTATCCCTATTATTCGGATATTATTATGTTTCATATTGTCTTGCATTTCTCTTAATCCCTCTTCATTCTTTCTGAGCCTCTTCATTTTCTTGCTCTTTCTGTGAGATGATTTCTACTTTGTCCTCCAACTCGCTGATCATATCTTCTGCTTCATTGATTCTATTTTTGAAACTTCCTCTGTTTTCTTCAATTTGAAAATTGTATTCTTTATTTCCTCTTTTCCCTTGCTGATAGTTTCTATTTCCTTTTTCATGTTGATGTAGTTTGTGGAGAGTTGATTGTAGCTCCCCTGTAGTTTCTGGTTTCTCATTGTGAGCTCTTTGAACTTCCTGGTAACCAGTGTTTTGAATTCAATATCTGATAGTTGATTTGCCTCTATTTCATCTAACATTCTTTCTTAGAGCTCCTCCCTTTCTTTCATTTGGGGATTGTTTCTTTGTCTTCCCATTGTTTGTGAGACTCTTCTTGTTAGACTCAGCTTCTTGTTCTGACTCCCTGGGTTTATTGTGTGAACTTTTGTGGTAGAATACCTGTGAATTTCAGTGGTGCAGGCTCCTTCAGGTATCTTGATGTTCTCCGTTTCCACCTACTCCTTTTTTTGTGTGTGTGTAATCAGTTGGAGGGGGAGGCCGAATTGTTTATGACAGCAGATGAGTATTTTATGGTAGTTACAATCACATCCAGTAAGGAAGAGATAGACGATCTTTAGGCTATATATAACGTTAGCGGTAATCTTCAACCCTACTTGCCACTTTTACAAAAGGATGGACAAAAGATAAGCTTCTTGTTGGGGAGGGAAGGCTTGTGAGTTGAGACTAGAAAGCAGTGAGGTTGCAGACGGTCAGATTTTGAGGTAAGGTGAGAGTAAGGAATAGTAGATAGGTGTATTGTGTGAGCAAATAGAGTTAATTACTCCAGTAATAGAATTCAGGAACTTGTAAAGTGGGCTAAGATCTGGGAGATTAGTTGTGAAGTGCTTACAGTTATATAGAACAGCTATTATTTACAGTAATATTAGAGCAACAATCCTGTGACCAACTCTATGAGATCAGTCTGAATAGGGAGTGTAGAGCTTCGGGTAGTGTGCTAAAGGAAAACAAGAGGCGTATGGTATAGAAAATTAGAAATACATTGTGGAGGAAAGAACAGAGGAGACCTGTCAGATAATACAATATAATCTACCAAGACTAAGAAGCCTATACAGGAGGAGGAGGAATACAAAGAGACTATAAGAGAAGTGAGAATAATGAAAAAATAATACAAGTATGCAGGAACAAACAAAAGAAAACAGGACAAAAAAAAGGCAGGAGAAGGGAGAAAAAAGCAATAAGTTTGGGAAGAAGGGAAGAAGGACTAAAACAGGAAAAAGGAAAGAAGAGGATCAAAGTATTGAAAGATAAAGCAATAATAAAATTCAAAATAAATGAGATTACAAAAAAAAAACCCCACAAAACAAAACAAAAAAACTTCCCTTGTTGGTTTTAAACTGTCCAAACCAGTTTTTCTCGTTGCACCAGGACCTCTCTGTGGGCTGTGTTGCCAGTGTGTGCCAGCCAGGCTACCAGACTGGGATGCCTGGTTCCCTTGCTGTCTGGTGAAATACTTCCTTGCTGCCAGGCTGGGTGGTAAGCAAGCCAAGCCGTCACAGGAGAGCACCTCAGTCAACTTTCAAAAAATATATAATAATAAGAAAAAAGCCTCCCTAGACAGACTGCCTCTCAGCCCAGCCCAATCTCCAGCCGGACCAGTGGCAACAATGCACCTTTCAATTCTCCAGGGCTGGCAACCACCGAGTCAGCAGATGAACACGGCCCTTTGTTTTTGTTGCTCTCTGCTCTCTGTGTAAACTCAGTCACACAGGCCTCTGCCTGGCACTGCCCAGACTTGGGGGGAGAACATTGCTGACCCTAGCTGGTTGCCTACCGAAGCGCTTGGTACCCCGGCTCAGGAGAGGGATGCCTCCTGCACCGGTCTCAGCCCCACTGGACCCCACTGGGGCAGCCATAGCGCTGGGGCCACCCGGCCGCAGGCGCCGCTCCTGCCTCCACTCGACTCCCCCATGCGCCACTAACCTGCTGCTGACCAGAATCTCAACGTCCATCACAATTGCTGCTCTCCCAACTTCATAAATGCTGTGGGTCTATTACTTAATTACGCTGTTTCTCAGTAGCTTGGCCAGGCTTTTCACCCACGTGTACGGGAGCTGGAGTATGTTTGGTCCTACTCCGTCGCCATCTATAGTAGTTCTTGAGAAAAGTTGATTTATCAGATAAAAAGATGTTGTTGTGACTAGTGCCCAGCTCATCTGTGACCCTAGAGATATTCCTAAAGGTCCTTTGTGCATTCTCATGTGTGTGTCTCATGGAAACTTGTAGACTGGATATACTCGGAGACTCCTCTCCTGCTACTAACGTGCCTGGGTTCCAGCTCCTTGCTGGAAGCACACTTTTCGGGTCCGGAAATTTCCCATCCTCATGACTTCCCTTCCACAAACCATCTTCAGAGCTCTCCTCCACTCTATTCCACTCCATTTTATAAAACTTGAAGACAGATCTCCAGTCATTGTCATGGACTGAGAACAAAGGAGGGAAGTCCTATTGCCCCTGTGGCGAACCCACAGGAATCCCTCAGGTGTTCATCTCTCCCACTTCCTCTTGTGTCCTGGGGCTAAAACCCACAGCCTGTGCCTGGGGCCTTAGAAGGGAAATCTGCAGGTGTGGAGAAGAAACTCTGACCTGGGGGATACCGGTTGGCTGCCCATCATAACACCATGAGAGTTTTCAAGCTCTAAAGTCCTTGGCTCCTTGGTTGGAATGTACTGGGTCAAACATTCTGTCCCTGCATTTTTAATTCATTTTATGTCCCTGGTTTTTACTGACTTGTTGTTATTATTGTTACCCAGTGGTGTCCAGCCCCTGCTCTGGGGATCCCAGAGCTACTCAAAGGGGACCTGGCTCATGGGCATCTTTCCTCTCACTTTCAAAGAACAGTGGAAGGTAAGATGCCAGAAAATACACCCAGTGACTCACTTGTGAGCACTTTCATGCTGCTTTGCTGTTTCCACATTTCACATCCAGGTTGGGGTCTGATAAGGAGAGACTACCTTCAGGGGTAGAGATAGTAAGACTCCCTCTGAGACATCCTGGGGCATCTGAAAAGGCCTAACATTGAGAGTGAGGGAGTGTCTGGTGAGGAATGTGGGGTGCACTGAGGCCACTGTGATTAAAGGAGGATGAAAGACATCAATTGGCCAGTGTCTGACAACCTGGCTGCACCCTCGGGTGTGAATGATGATGTCACCCTGGACAGCCCCCAGGCATGCATGACTTCCTCCTCTACCTCAGCATTGAGGGCATTCTTCAATGCCACTGCCACCCTGACTGGAGGAGATGCCTATGGCCCTGATAGTTCTGTACTGTAAGGGATGGTCTGGAGCCTGAGTCAGTTCCTCTGTCTACCCCTCAAGGCCTGAAGAAGGGGATACAGACATTCTTCCAGACCCATCATGCCACAGAAGGTTCCAACCAGAGAGCAGATATAACCACATAAGTCCACAGGCTTTCTAGAGCATCTGGCTCCAGCTCAGCCTAGCCTCTAAAATGCCAGGCAGGATCTGATTTCTGTCCAGCCCCCACAGGGGCATCAGGCTGGAATCTAGGTTATCTGCCCTGTGGGAATCCATGCCATTAGGATGCTACCCTTTGTCCTGTTGCAGACATCAATGAGTGTGAACTACCCTCGGTATCCTGTGGAAAATTCGCCAACTGCCAGAACACAGAGGGGAGCTATTACTGCAGGTGCAACTCGGGATATAGGCTTCATTCTGGGGCAACAGTGTTCAGGAATGAAAATGAGAACACATGTCAAGGTAAGAACCTCCCTGTGTTTTCCACCTGCTTGTCTGTGAAGTTTTAGGTCATTTGGCCCACTTTCCACAACATAAGAGGGCTGTCGTACTTGGTCACCTGCCCTCTCTGAAATCCAAGGCCCAAAACCCTCCACAGAGAGTCATTTCTGGAAGTTCAAAGGATCCCTCCTGCCTTTCTGGCATCTTATTTCCATAAATCAAGAGAGAGGGATGACATCCAAGACTCTTCAGGAGCTCATAGTATGTTGTGTTCCAGCACAATATCCGTCCTCTCCACCGTTACCAGTGACTGCCAGACAAGGACCTTCCCCCACTGCAGCACACATGAGCTCAGCCACACCATACAGACTCTCAGGCCTCCTGGCCTCTAACAGACCCAGTAAGTTTGTCCAGAAACATGGATTCTAGGGTGGGCCCATCTTCCCTGGACAGCCCTGTCCCCAACCAACAACCCCCATACCCTGGCCCCACTTCTCAGCTGCTCAGACTTCATCTATCTCTAAGTGATGCCCTTGAACCACCCCCCAATAATTTCAGCTTACCACGTGAGGACAACGCAGATGACAAGGACCCAGAAGATTGTTGGGTCCAGTCTGGGAAGGACAACACAGACGCCACCACACACACACAAACTTGAAGAGTCAGGTAAATGGAAGAGGCTCCCATCTGAACCAGGCTACAACAGAGGGCACCATCAGGTGGGAGACCAAAGGGCCAGAGCCAAAAAATGTCTGCCACCCCTCACCCATCACACCCACTCCCCTCTCCAGCCAGATAGCCCTCACCTCTGCTGGTCTTCCTCAGACATGGATTCTCACCACTTCCTGCCAGTTTAGGGGATGCCTTCTTAGGAATGAGAAAAAGACACCAGGGATGGCTGGCTGGTGGATATCTGTCATATAGCCTCATCTGTGGAGGACCTGCCTCAGGGATGTTTCTTGGGCCATGTCTCTCGAGATGTCATAGGGTTGGCATGGAGGAGGCACCTCTGCCCTGACAGTGTCAATGGGATTCCAAGGAGAACTCAACCAGTCAGCAGCCACACTTTGGGAATTAGGACAAAGGCCATTCTGAAAACCCAAGATAGGTCCTGCTGGTGAAATGCAGTATTTTCTTTCTACTCAGTCCCCAAGAAGACCCACTCTGTCTCTGTCCCCCACCCCAGCTAGGAGCTTTCCAGGAAAGCTGAGGGTACAGAGGGAGGCAGACAGGTAGGACTCAGGCTGATTCCATCCACTTCCAGAAAACAGAGCATCTAGGCCACCACATTCACCCACAGGACACTAGGAGAAGTCCATGTGAATAAGAAAAGGTGCCAACTGGGCGGGGGGAATTTCCATATTCTATTCATAAACCAGGGTCCCTGAGCTACCAACTGACAGTCTGGTAAGTTACCTGGCCTGACCTGACTCCAGACCCCACCCAAACTCTCTGTCTGTCTATCTGTTTCTCTCTCTCTCTCTCTCTCTCTCTCTCTCTCTCTCTCTCTCTGTCTTTATCTCTCTCACACACACACCCCTAACAAACTGCTGTTTTGTCTGCAGCAGGATTCTCCTTCCCCACCTGGACCCCACACTCTGGAAAGAAGAGCAAGGTGAGTGGTCCCCTGAAGATACCAAGAAGCAGGAAATACCAAAGCACACACATATTTTTTCCAAATTCCCCCACCACCTATGAGGCTCTGTCACCCCCTCATCTTGCCTCTCCCCACTAGCTTTCCTGCTTCTTTTTTTAAAAAATTGTTGATCTGGGGACAGACTTCACATCAGCCTCAGCCCAGGACATCATCCCTGTAAGCATAGGACCCAAGGGAGGCCGGTGGAGGCACCCTATAAAGCATTGCTCTCCAACCTTTTTGGAACCAGGGGTCTGTTTTTCTATGGACAGGGCCAGGGTGGAGGGGCGGGGACAGGAGGCAGAGCTAGGTGAGCTTCCCTGATAGCCAGGTTCCTAACAAGCTACAGACCAGTACTAGCCTGCAGCCCAGGGTTTAGGAAACCCTATCTCAATCCTAACCCCAGACACCTAATTTTTCTTGTTTCAGACACCCAAAGTTGTTAGTTTCTTCTACTTTTTAATGAATATTTTATTTATTTATTTATTTATTTATTTATTTATTTATTTATTTATTTATTGCGATTACACAGATCTTTACTTGTTTCTTCTCTCTATCCTTCTCTTCCACTTCTGTCTTCTCCCCTTCTCCTCTTCCTCTTTTTCCTCCTCTTTCCCTTCCTTCTCTTTCTCCTCCCATTTTCTCTCCTTTTCCTTTTTCATCTTTTCCTTTTCTTCCTTCTCCCCTCCTCCTCTTTTTTTAATTTTAATTCTATGGATATTGTATACATATAAAAGTAATGCATGTATTATATTTGTTCTTTGTCCCTCTTCTTTTCACGAACATGTTTTCTTCAATGTTATGCATTTTGTGTTTTTATTTATTACATCTAAAAAGTTATTCCATCCAAGTATACAAAGAGACACTCCCTTATTTTTATTGCCATATAAAATCCTATATTGCCATATAGGATTTCATTGTGTGGATATACCATAAATTACACATCAAGACCTCTTATAGTGAGTGTTTTGTTGTGATTGTTAGTATGCATATAATACAAATAATGTTTCAATTGTTTACACACACTTCACTGTTCTCACATTTGAATATGAAAAAAAGAATATGCAGACAGGACAAATACTGGATCAAATTTATAATTGTATATTGGCAGATTTTTCCATATTTCAAAATATAGATATTATACCTGCAAACACTTCCACCAGCTCATAATATGAACACTTCATATTATAAAGATGTGTGATTCCTCACACCTCACTACAAGGTTATTATTACATTTTTGAATGTTTACCTGTCTGACAAATAAATAGGGAATCTAGGAAAATTTTTGTATTTTTTATGAGTGAAATGAAATACATTCAAGAGTGGTTCTTATTTCATTCTCTGGAAACAATTTGTTCACATTCTTAGTCTATTTTTCTATTGGTCTGTTGGTATACAGGACCAATACACTCTCACATGCACTTGTGAGAGTGTTTGCTATATAGTTGGGAAATTAGAGTTTTTTTCTTACACCAAAGATTCTCAAGATTTAGTATGCAACAGAATCATTTGGAATATTTGATATTTATTAATTAACATTTTATTAGGAATCAGTTACAAACTTACAGATAAGTTGCAAAAATTAAAAACTCAAATAATATATCTTGCTCTCTATTCAGATGCACCAACTTTAAACATTTATAACTGCACTTCTTTTATCACTTGCACATTTCTCTGTTTCTTCCTCTTTCCTCTCTCCATTCTCACCCCTCCTCCCTACTCCTCCTTCCTCTCCTCGGTACACTGAAATGGAATTGATGGAGAGGATGAGGTTCCTTCTCCTCTCGAATTTATGATTAGTAAAATGAGGCAGAAAATATGAATTTTAAACTATCACTATTAAAAACATAATAGTTTTTATCCATTAACTCAGGATCAAGCTATAAATGTGTAAACATTAGTGACCAGCAAGAACAGGTGTTGGAGGGATGAGGTGAGTGAAGTCCAAGATGGGGAGTTGATAGCTGGACATCGAGTCTCCAGGTACAGACTCGGTCACACAGCATCACATAATGGAGATGGCAAATGGCACTCCACATGGAGCTTCTGTGCCTCAGAGACCCTCACAGGATAACCTATATGCTTACTCATGCCCACAAGTCTTTAAAAAAAAACAACCTATGAGTTCCAGGAGTTGGTCTTAAGTAAGGACTATTCTATTTCTCAATTTTTTTAGTCTGAATCAGTTAAAAGCCTCATAAAATTCTAACATTACCCATAAACATCACAAATCTACATGACTCCTCCATTTCTGAGTTTGTTTCACCAAAAAATAAAAGTAAAAATGGTGGAAGGGTCATTACTCCAGAGCAGGAAAGTGTGACTGATATCTCCTCTTTTCTGGGTCCCAGAAGGAGGATCCTATCCTGGCTGTGATCACCTATGTGGGGCTGAGCGTCTCTCTGCTGTGCCTTCTCCTGGCGGCCCTCACTTTCCTGCTATGCAAAGCCATCCAGAACACCAGCACCTCCCTCCACTTGCAGCTCTGCATCTGCCTCTTCCTGGCCCACCTGCTCTTCCTCATGGCCATCAACAGAACAGAGATTAAGGTACTGACGTCCTCAGGGACCTTTGTCCTGCCTGGGAGATGTGGAATTCATGGGGCCATGCTGCACTGGACCCCATAATAAAATGTCCTTGGGTTCTGGGAAGGTTAGAGGGGTGAGTAGCTAATTTTACACTGACTGACCCAGCTACAGGAGATACTCTCTTTTGACAATTCCACCATATACAACAGAAGTGTTCCCAAAGACGAGGCATAGGACAGGTCCTGGGGCCATGCACCCCTCTGACAATGCTCCCTGGTGACTCTGACTTCTCCCCCAGGTACTGTGTGCCATCATCGCTGGTGCCTTACACTACCTCTACCTGGCCTCCTTTACCTGGATGCTGCTGGAGGGCCTGCACCTCTTCCTCACTGCACGCAGCCTGATGGTGGTCAACTACTCCAGTGTGAGCAGGTTCATGAAGAAATTCATGGTCCTTATGGGCTATGGAGTCCCAGCTGTCATTGTGTCCATTTCTGCAGCGTCCAGGCCTCACCTTTATGGAACACCTGCCCGGTAAATTAAAGTTCACACTGGTCTTATTTTCTCCACATGACCAAGGTCATCAGAGAACCCAATGTAGCACTTTACTTTCACTAGAATATGATAAACAGAAAAACACAGTAGTCACCCAAAGACATCTTCCTGGTTTCATGATTGCATTCCTTAAAAGAAATGTTTTTGAGAACTTAAAATTTCATTGTTTTAAATATTAATTATATAGTATGTTAATTATATATTCACATAATATTGATTGTATTATACTAAAAACTAACATATCATAATAATAAACATTAACAATTATAATTAAAACTTGAGCATCAACTTACACCATACACACAAATAAATTCAAGGTGGATAAAAGATTTAAATATAAGCCGTGACACCATTCAAGTCCTAGAGAAGAACATTGGCAAGAAAATCTCAGATATTTCACACAGCAACATTTTCACTGATATGTCCCCCAGAGCGAGGGACATAAAGGAAAGAATAAACAAATGGAATCTCATCAAAATAAAAACCTTCTGCACAGCTAAAGAAAACAGTATTAAAATAAAAAGAGAATCAACTGTATGGGAAAACATATTTGCCAATATTACCTCAGACGAAGGTTTAATCTCCAAAATATACAAAGAACGTATACGACTCCACTCTAAGAAGACAATCAACCCAATTAAAAAGTGGGTGAAGGATTTGAACAGACACTTTCCCAAGGAGAACATACAGAGGATCCAGAGACACATGAAAAGATGCTCAATATCGCTACCTATCAGAGAGATGTAAATTAAAACCACAATGAGATACCACTTCACACTGGTCAGAATGGCCATCATAAACAAAGCAACAAACAACAAGTGTTGAAGAGGGTGTAGAGAAAAGGGGACCCTAGTTCACTGTTGGTGGGTTGCAGACTGGTACAGCCACTGTGGAAAACAGTATGGAATTTTCTCAGAAAAATTAAAATGGACCTGCCTTTTGTCTCTGCAATTCCACTACTGGGATTATATCCTAAGAACTGTGAAACACCAATCCAAAAGAACCTATGCACCCCAATGTTCATAGCAGCACAATTTACAATAGCCAAGGGTTGAAAGAAATCTAGGTGCCCATCAGTAAATGAATGGATAAAAAAAACTATGGTACATTTACAGAATAAAATTCTATGCAGCAGAAAGAAAGAAGGAGCTACTGCCCTTTGCAATAGCATGGATGGAACTGGAAAGCATTATGCTGAGTGAAATAAGTCAGGCAGTGAAAGACAAATACCATATGATGTCACCTTTAACAGGAAGCTAAACAACAAAACAAACAAGCAAGCAAAATATAACCAAAGACACTGAAGTAGAGAACAGGCTGACAGTGACCAGAGGGGAGAGGGGAGGGAATTTCAGGGGAAAAGGATAGGGGTTTACAGGAACGAGTATTAAGGACACATGGACAAAAATTAAGGGGGGTAGAAATGGGAGGGAGGTGGGGAGCAGTGGGGGGTGGGCTGGGATGGAAGTAAAAGACAGAAAACTGTACTTGAACAACAATTAAAATAAATAAATTTTAAAAACAATTATAAATTAATATATTGTTAAATTAGCTGGCACATATCTTTTAGATTTAAATATTTAAATATCAATTTTATATTAATGACTCTATTACATTAACAAACATGATACATGATATTAATCCCATTTTGTATATTAATATAATTTTCATTACATTTAATGTTTCAAATCTTCTAGAAAGCAAAACTGGAAATGAAGAAATGGCATTGGTTGGTATAACTTACTTCTCTCCTCAGTTTAAAGAAAAAAGGAGGATGATTTAGAAAATGAAACTGTGATCACTAGAGCTAAGATTTAGAGATAACATCTGACATGCAATCATTGTTCTGAACAGTTTTCACGTATCAACCCAAGTCGTCCTCCGAACAATCCACTGGGGTAGAAACCAGTGTTGTATGAGTTTTATGAATGAGGAAACTGGGGCACAGAGATGACCAACACGGCTCAGATCACACAATTGGTCGGTGGCAGAGCCAGGACCAAATCCAGACAGTGTGTCATTTACATACTCCTGTGCTGATAAAATTCATGTTTGCTGACATCAGAGGAGCCCTGGCAAGCTGGCCCTCCTATATAACTTGCATCAAAGTCAGCAGATTTTACCTCCAAAAGACCACAAAGTAAATATTGCAGCTTTGTGAGCCATGTGGTCTCTGTTGCAACTATTCACCCCTGTCCTTGTAGCCCAAGAGCCACTGTAGACAATATGGAAAATGAATGAGTGCAACTGTGTTCCAGTAAAACACATTTACAAAGTCAAGTGGTGGCCCCATTGACCCACAAGGTACAGTTTACCAACACAGCCTCAGTAGTGTTCACTTTGAGTGTTCTGGTTGGTGGCCTTGAGTTACTACATTTTCTTAAGCATCATATGTCACCCTGTGATCACTTGAGTCTCAGTGTTGTCTTGAGGAATAAATTATGTAATGCATATGAGCCTGAATTACTACTATGAATCTATTGTTATATATTGCATTGTCATTTGGCATGCCCCCAGATTTTCTCACCTTCTTTACACCTGCTCATTCTTTACATCTCAGAATGAACACAATCAGTTCTCTCAGGGACCCTTTTCAACAACCTGAACCTCCTATACCCCATACTAGGCTATTGCTCCAGCTACCTGTTCTCATATCTCCTCACACTTGATCACAAAACTCATCACCTTGATTGTTCCTATTGTTTAATTGGTGACCTTTCCACCCAGCTAGGGCCTCCCTGAAAAATGAGACCAGTCTATCTTAATTTCAGTTGGATCTTCAGGCCATCACAGATCGTAATACAGAGGAGACACAATAGTTGCCCAATAAATTATAAATTAATTTACTAATTGATTCTTATCTTTTTGTTAAAACACATTTTTTCCTGCTAGCATATCTGGGGTCCAAGACTTAAAATACTTATTTAAAATAAATTTATCTTTTCTTAAAACCATATTATTATGGCATGATTGATTTGTAAAACTCTACATAGTCAATACATGTAAACTGATGAGTTTGAAGATAAGTAAACAGCCAGGACCATTACCATCATCAAGGCCACACCCAAACTTTCAGTTATGAAAAAAATAAGATAAGGAGATCTAGACAGCATAGTGCCTATAATTATCAATATTGTATTATATACTTAAAATTTACTAAGAGGATAATTCTTAGCATAAATATTCTTACCAAAAAAAATCAACAATAATATTAACAAAAAGTAAACAGAAGAAACTGTGGGAAGTGAAGGATATTTTAATTTATTGATTGTTTACCCACAAAAGCAAATAGATTCTTCAATCCCTTTTCATCTCTCTCCTAGATGCTGGCTCCACACACAACAGGGATTTGTATGGATCTTCCTTGGCCCTGTCTTCATCATCATCTCTGTGAGTAAAGGATGGCATCAGAGCATCCCTCCTGCTCAGCTGAGGGTCAGTCAAAGAGCAGGTGTATAAAAGGGGTAACAGGCAGGATGAGCAAACATTCTTGTTTTCCCAGGACCGAAGGGGCTTACAGAATGCAAAACTGCTAGTTTAAAACAAGGATGGGGGTGTTTCCTGAGACATTGGAATTTCAGTGCTAAATTGTGGAAATTCCTGTGTAAAACGGGACAAGTTAACCCACCCATTACAGGACAAGAGGGATCATGAGTTACTGGATGGTTGGTCAATTTTTCTGATACAAAAGCTTATTACCTGCTGAGTTAGGTGTTTGATGAGCTAGGAGGAAGCTATACAGATGTAGAATATATTCAATATGCCTCATGGGGTTTCCACAGATTAACTTGGCTTTCTTTCTGATGACCCTCTGGATTCTGAAAAGCAAGCTCTCCTTGCTCAACAATGATGTCTCCTTCCTCCAGAACACGAGGTGAGATGGGTCATAGGGGCAAACTGCCCCACACAAAGCAGGGTTTATGAGCATGGCCCTATGGTTCCAAGCTTCTGGTATCCTTCCACAGGGATTCTGAGGGTATGGGAGGAGAAAAGCAGCCACCCTCCCTGGACATCTGCTCAGATACTGTGCTTTGCTGCCAAACGCAAGCCAGAAATATTTTGTTTCTCTATAAATCCAGCATGAAATTACCTCAACTACAGAGGGATTGACTTTGTTCTGTCATATGTGGATTATATCCATGGCCCTGTGAAAATATTCAAAGAATGTTTACATCTTTATAAAACTCTTAGGAAATCACCTACCTGTTCCCAGAACCCCAGCATTCACCTGCATGCCCACACCTTCATGGAGGTTCTTCCATCTGTCTTCTTCACTCCTACACCTGCTATAATCAGGCTCTTTATGCATATGCCACATCTTCTGAAAGACTAGGGGTGTCCTTTGCTTTCCTCAACTTTGCACAGAATTAATGGCCTCTATTCTTAGCAAAGCATACCTGGGAACAGTTTATGGAAAGGAGAAGACAGTACCAATCCTGGATGGGACCTGGGCAGAGAGAGCTCGCATGTCACAAATATTATAAATAACCATTTGCTTTAGTCTTTCCATAAGACTGTAAGGTCTGTGAAGACAGAAATTGTCTTTGTTATTTCCAATGCCCAAGACCTATCACAGAGTTTGGTGCACTAAAGTTCCTAGTAATGTCAGTTGAATAAAATCTGGAACATTCATGATACATCATGATCATTTTGAAACCCACATAAAGAATTATCACTACCTTAACCCTGGCTAGTGTGGCTCAGCAGATTGAGTGCTGGCCTCCAACACAAAAGGTTGCCAGCTTGATTCCCAGTCACGGCACATGCTAGGGTTGCAGGCCAGGTCCCCACGTCGGGTATGCAAGAGGCACTGATCTCTCACACATCTCTCCCTCTTTCTTTTTCTTTTTCCCTCCTTTTCCCTCTCTCTAAATAAATAAATTTTAAAAATCAATAAATAAACTCTTTTTAAACAAAGAATTAGCATTACCTCTGTCCAACTAATATTGTCATCCTGAACACAGAGAGCACTTCTTTTGAGGGAATCAAAATCAGGGAGTAAAGATCAAAGTAGATCACAATTCAGTCACATGCCTCCATGGGGTAAAGATGAGAGTGGCTTTGATTCTGTTGCTCTGGGTGCACCATGGGCCTCATTTCTCCTCCTATTCAGGAAGCTAACATTTAAAGCAATGGCCCATCTCTTCATCTTGGGCTGTGCATGGTGTCTGGGAATCCTGCAGCTGGGCCCAGCTGCCCATGCCATGGCCTATCTCTTCACAATCATCAACAGCCTGCAGGGTGTCTTCATCTTCCTGGTGTACTGTCTCCTCAGCCAGCAGGTACCACAGTCCCACTCCCACCCAGCACCCTTTCTATTCTCAGTCCTCTCAGTGAGCTGACTCAGAACATGCTTTGCCTCTACAGGTCTGGGAGCAATACAGGCAATGGTTGAAAAGGATCAAGAAAACCAAAGTGGACTCTGAGAAGTACACCCTCTCCAGCATGGCCATGTCTGAAGCTTCCAAAGACAATGTGGTAGGTCCCATATTGCTCTCAGAGCCCTTAACCAACTGATCCACTCAAGAAGCTCATGCCCATCACACTAGACAACCTATGTCTACAGCAGGAGATGCCCTAGCACAGCTCCCACTGCCCTCACTTGTGGACTCACTCCAAGGCATTTTCTTGTCATAAATAGAGGTTTACCTGTACTTTCACTCACTGTGTTTCTGTGCTCACCTTAACCTTGCAAATGATTACCTTCTCACTCCCCATGTGTGTAGAACACCCACTTTGTGTGATATGGTGCATGTGGTTTTTAATCTTACTAAGTGAGAAGACACAAAACTTCCTCATAAGCAGAGAGAGAAGTTATGGTCAGCTCAACAAGTGGGAACTAGTGATGTGAAGCTGTGATGCTCAAAGTGTAGTCATAGCACCACACTTTGTCCCAAGTCATTCCAGGCTTGGGAAAAAAACAAACACATGGTATATGTCATCATAACAGTCAGGGAAATAGTTGTTAGGTTGGATTTCAGACTTTCCATCAGAGTCTGCTACCATTTCTCATGTTTTCAACACACACAAATAATGCAAAGCCAGGATGGAGAATTGCAGGGGGCTGAGGAGAGACCCTAGTGATGGCAATGAACATTTGTACATTCTGGTTAATAAAACCTTGTCTCATGCTTTTATTCACATGTTCTTCACATCTGCACTTGGAAATAAGTATTATTATGTTCCCACTTGGTAGGTGAAGAAAGTGGGACTCACAGGGTCTATACAAATTGTGAAAGGTTTTATTTTATTTTTTATAATATATTTTATTGATTATGCCATTACAGTTGTTTTTATTCTTCCCCCTTCATTCCCCTCCATCCTGCACAGCCCTCCCCCCACACTCCCCCCTTTAGTTCATGTCCAGGTGTCATATGTTCTTTCACTTCTACATTTCCCACACTACTCTTGCCCTCCCCCTGTCTATTTTCTCCCCACTGTCTATGCTACTTATTCTCTGTACCCTCTCCCCCTTCTCCTCCTCCCATTCCCCTATTGCTAACCCTCCATGTGATCTCCACTTCTGTGGCTCCTCTCCTGATCTAACTGTCCACTTTGTTTTTGTTTTAGGTGTAGTTGTTAATAACTGTTAATTTGCTGTCCTTTCACTGTTCATATTTTTTTATCTTCTTTTTCTTAGGTAAGTCCCTTTAACACTTCATATAATAAGGGCTTGGTGATGATGAACTCCTCTAACTTGACTTTATCTGAGAAGCACTTTATCTGCCCCTCCATTCTAAATGAAAGCTTTGCTGGGTAGAGCAATCTTGGATGTAGGTCCTTGCTTTTCATGGCTTGGAATACTTCTTTCCAGCCCCTTCTTGCCTGCAAGGTCTCTTTTGAGAAATCAGCTGACAGTCTGATGGGAACTCCTTTGTAGGTAACTGCCTCCCTTTCTCTTGCTGATTCTAGAATCCTCTCCTTATCTTTAATCTTGGGTAATGTAATTATGACGTACCTTGGTGTGTTCTTCCTTGGGTCCACCTTCTTTGGTATTGTCTGAGCTTCCTGGACTTCCTGGAAGTCTATTGCCTTGGCCAGATTGGGGAAGTTCTCCTTTATTATTTGTTCAGATAAGTTTTCCACTTGTGGCTCTTTCTCCTCCCCTTCTTGTACCCCGTAATTCGGATGTTGGAACATTTAAAGATGTCCTGGAGGTCCCTGAGCCTCTCCTCATTTTTTTTTGAATTATTGTTTCTTCATTCTTCCCTGGTTGGATGTTTGTTTCTTTTTTCTGGTCCACTCCATTGATTTGAGTCCCGGTTTTCTTCCCATCACTATTGGTTCCCTGTACATCTTCCTTCATTTCACTTAGTGTAGCCTTCATTTTTTCATCTAATTTGCAACCAAATTCAACCAATTCTGTGAGCATCCTGATTACCAGTGTTTTGAACTATGCTTCTGATAGATTGGCTATCTCTTCATCCCTTGGTTGTATTTTTTTTTTCGGGAGCTTTGATCTGTCCTTTCATTTGAGTCTTTTTTTTTTTTTTGTCTTGGTATGCTTGTTACGTATAGTAAGGGTCAGAGCCTTAGCTGTTCACCAGGGCGAGGCAACCCATGTCACTGCACTGTGACACTGTAGGTGGGGAGGGAGTCTGAGAGGGAATAATGTCCCTTGCTTTGCTCTCTGTTGGATTTTAGTCACTTCCCCCACTTCCCACAAGCAAATTGGGTCCTTCTGGTGCTGATTCCCATGTGGGTAAGTTTGTATACATTCTAGGACCCTGTGGGTCTCTCCAACAAACTTTCCTGTGAGGCTGGGAGTCTCTTCCTGATCCTCAACCCCCAGAGGTGTTATTCATCAGTGATTTGAGGCTTTATTTCCCCATGCTGGGGCTCTAGGTTTCCCAGTCTGTCCTGCTTCCCAATTGTTTCTTGTGGTTTATCTGCCCAGTTCACAATCTACTGCCTCAGCGGGTCTGCCTGCTGCTGCCTTACCAGCCAGCTGAAGCCTTGTGTGCCCTGCTCCTCAGTTTGATGCCTCACTGGGTCCACCAGCTGCTGCCACAAGTCCTCTCTGCCACAAGTCCTCTCTGTCAGGGTGCCCATCTCCACCCCTCCTACCAATCTGGATGAATGTGTCTTTAACTCCTTGGCTGTCAGACTTTCATACAGTTTGGGTTTCTGTCAGTGCTGGTTGTTTTTTGCTTTTAAATTGTTCTCCTTTTTTGGTTGTGCAAGGAGGCACAGTGTGTCTATATATGCCTCCATCTTGGCTGCAAGTCTTTTTTTTCTTTTGCAAGATTGTTTCAGCTATTTTGGATGCTTTGAAGTCCCATGCAAATTTAGAATGTGCTTGTCAATTTCTGAAAAAAATTTAACTGAGATATTGATAAGGAGTTGTTGACGCTGTATATCAATGTGGAGGTACTGTCAGCGTAACTATATTAAGCCCTTTGATCTATGAACATGCAATATTTTTTTCATTTTTTTAGTTTCTTTGATGTCTTTTGACAATGTTTTCTAGTTGTCATTTTACAAGTCTGGCACTTTTTAACACCATATTATTTTTACCCTTCTCAGGAGGAGTAAATTAACAACTAAACCAAATGATCCTGTCTCCTGGAAAAATGAGGAAAACACTGACCTGTCATCCTTTGGGCAAAGAGTACAGAAAATACTTTTCTGTCTGTTACCAGTAACTGATTCAGGCACCTTTATGGGAGAGAGCATGCACAAAATGTTTGACATTCAACTGCTAGAGAACTGGGATTTTATGGTCCACACAGCATGCTCAGCTCACTCCCATACAGTCAGGGAGCTATGATCCAGTTCCTCGGTTGTCTTGGGTTAAGCCCTGAACTTCAGCCTGTTTTTCTACAAAAATGTCCCTCAAGCATAACAAGGAAAACCATCCTCAAACATCTTTCTTATGAGAGCATAAAAAAAGAAAGTAATGTCCAGTCAAGTACCTGTATTTGGTCTCCCTACCTGCATGCCTTGACTTCTTTACTTTTCATGTCTAGAGACTTACTGATTTTTCACTCAAAAAATAGTTTTCTTACAATTTGCTTCACAGAGATCCCAGGTCCTGATTTCAGCTTATATGGAAAAAAAAAGTTAGAGTAAAATCAATACAGTCTGTACATCCTTACATTTTACAAATGGAGCTTGGAAAAGGCGTATATTCCTACAGCACATCGTGTAAGATGTATTTATATTTATTATTTCATCCAAAGCATGTGATCTAGGCAAGATCTAATTCCAGAGCAATTACACCTGAAAGAAATTTCCTGTGGGTTTCCACAGACCACATTTGTATAATCTGAACACCACAGAAAATGACTGTAAATGGTTAGAACATTAAAAACATTTATGAGTCCATAGTGATATCTAAAAATGTCAGCCAATGATTGTAAAAGACAAGATAAAAGTAGAAAGTTACAATTTTTCAATAAATACTGAGTAAATGGCACTAAACACAATGTGAAAAGCTATTGGAGAACAGGCTAGTCCTACAGTGCCCAAAAAAACCACCTCGCAGATTAGTGGTTGATTACAAGGGCTAAAGTGCACATTGACAATAGGGAGATCTGAACTTAATGATCAGCTTCACATTGTCAATATTGGGAAACCTGACTTTATATATCTCCTGATAAGACATGAAGTTACAACATCCCATGTGCAGTAAATAATGAATTATGTGCAAGTCACTCTACCCTAAATCTAACCCAGCTTTTAGATGGAGGGTTAGAAAACCATAACATGCAGGCTAAATCTGGGCCTCTGCCTGCTTTTGTAAATAAAGTTTTATTGGAACACATCAAAGTCATTCACTGCTGGGTTGTCTATGGCTCCTTTCATACTATAATGTCAGAGCTGAGTAGCTATGAAAGACACTGCAAAGCCACAAAACCAGAAAAATATTTACTAACTATCCCATTATAGAAAGAGCTTGCTGAGATCTGTTCTTTCAGACCTAAATATCAGTATACATGGAATATAAGGAACAGAATAAGAAGTTAACTGACATCATGAGGAAGCAATCAGAAAAATCAAGAATATAGAGCATTAAGCAAGTCAGGTGATTTGGACACTTTTAAAGTCAGTATCATTATAAAAAATAGTTACTATCACTTGAAAAAATGATTACAGGCTATTCTAGAAAACAGATGAAAACAACATAGTAGTCAAATTCAATGTTAATTATATTGAGATTCTGATTTAGAAACACAACCATAAAAATATTTTGGAGGCAATTGGGAAATCTACATATATCAGATATTATAATTATTATTAATAAATGTCTAATCACTATGTTGTAAACCTGAAACTAATAAATATTATATATAAACTATAATTTTAAAATAAAATTTTTTGGCATAATAATAGTTTCACAGGAGAATTTTGCAAAACATTCAAGGGAGAGATAATGTTTATCCTTCTCAGACTATTCCAAAAATTCCAAGAAGATGGAAGACTCCCAAATGCTTTTTGTGAAACCAGCATCATCCCAATCCCAAAACCAGATAAAGACACAACAAAGAAAGGAAATTATAGGCCAATATCACTGATGAACATAGATGCTAAAATCCTCAACAAAATTTTGGCAAATCACATTCAGCAATTCATTAAAAAGATCATACAGGAGTATGATCTTTTGGCCCAGCTAAGATGAGGGCATAGGTAGAAACACTTTGCTTCCTTGCACAACTAAGAGAAGGATAACAACCAATTTAGAAACAATAAATAATAGCAAACTCCATGGAACTCCAACAACCAAGGAGTTAAAGAAACATTCATCCACCAGTCAGGGCACATACCTGGGTTGCAGTCCGGTTCCCTGCAGGCCATTTCCCAGGAGGGGATGCACGAAAGGCAACCATACATTGATGTTTCTCCTCCTCTCTCCTTCCCTTCCCCTCCAAAGATAAATAAATAAAAATCTTTTAAAAAAAAGAAAAGAAAAGAAACAGTCATCCAGACCAGTAGGAGGGGGTGGAGACAGACAACCAGGCAGGTGGAGAGGACCCTGCAACAAGTTGGTGGACCTCTCGGGTGAGGATGGGCTGGCTCACCAGGAAACTATAGACTCAAAACTTCTAGCAGGCCCTAGCTGGTGTGGCTCAGTGGGTTGAGCACAGGCCTATGAACCAAAGAGTTACTGGTTCAATTTCTAGTCAGGGAACATGCCTGGGTTGTGGGCCAGGTCCCCAGTAGGGGGGGCACATAAAAGGCAATGACACATTGATATATCTCTCCCTCTCTTTCCATCTCCCAATAAGTAAATAAATAAAATCTTTTTTAAAAAACCCTGTAGCAGTAAAATACTATGGGCATGGTGAAGGCAGGAGAAACTCCCAGTCTCACAGGAGAGTTCATTGGAAAGTAGGGCTACAGCGCAGTGAGCAAGTTGCATTTTTCCCTCTCTGACTCCTTCCCCACCGACAGTACCACAACACAACAGCAAAGGGTTTCCCCACCCTGACAAATATGGAAGGGTCTGCACCCTTACAACTTAACAGGTGCACTGAGACAAAGAAATGTAACCCAAATGAAAAAACAGATCAAAACTCCAGGAAAAAAGCTAAGTGATGAGGAGACAGACAACCTATCTCATGCAGAGTTCAAAAAACTGGTAATCAGGATGCTAACAGAATTGACTGATCTTGGTTACAAAATAAAGGAAGAAAGGAAGGCTATACAAAGTAAAATAAAGCAAAATATACAGGGAGCCAACAGTGAAGGGAAAGAAACCAGGACTCAAATGGATTATTTGGAACAAAAGAAAGAAAGAAATTTTTTTTAAAAAGAACAAAATGAGGACACAAGAATTCAAAAAAATGAGGGGAGGATTAGGAACTCTGGAATAACTTTAAGGGCTCCAACATTTAAATCATAACGGTGCCAGAAGGAGAAGAACAACAGCAGGAAATTGAAAACTTATTCGAACAAATAATGAAAGAAAATTCCCCCAATCTGGTGAAGGAAATAGACTTACAGGAAGTCCAGGAAGCTCAGAGAGTCCCAAAAAACTGTACCCAAGGAGGTACAGACCAAAGCACATCATAATTAAGTTACCCAAAATTAAAGATAAAGAGAGAATCTTAAAAGTAGCAAGAAGAAAGGAAAGAGTTACCTACAAAGGAGTGCCCATAGACTATCAGCTGATTTCTCAAAAGAGACCTTACAGGTAAGAAGAATCTGGAGAGAAGTATTTGAAGTCATAAATGGCAAGGACCTACATCCAAGATTTCTCTATCCAGCAAAGCTAACATTTAGAATGGATGGGCAGATAAAGTGCTTTCCAGATAAGGTCAAGTTAAAAGAGTTCATCATCACCAAGCCCTTATTATATGAAATGTCAAAGGGACTTATCTAAGAAATAGAAGAAAATAAAAAACTATGAACAGTAAAATGACAACAAACTCATAGCTATCAACAACTGTACCTAAAAAAATAGAAACTAAGCAAACAACTAGAACAGAAACAGAATCACAGAAATGAAGAACTCATGAAAGATTATCAATAGGGAGAGGGGAAAGGTGAGGGCATAAGAACCATAATTGGTAGGCATAAAATAGGTGTAGGTTAAGAATAGTATAGGAAACATAGAAGCCAAAGAACTTATATATACACCCCATAGACATGAACTAAGGGGAGGCAAGGCTGGACGGTGGGGGGTGAAGGGCAAAGGAGTATAAAGGGGAGAAAACAATTGGGACAACTGTAATAGCATAATCAATAAAATATACTAACTAAAACAAAAGATTATACACCTTGATCAAGTAGAATTCATCTCAGGGATGCAAGGATGATACAATATTTCCAAATCAATAAATTTAATAATCACATGAACAAAATGAAAGACAAAAATCACATGCTCATATCAACAGATGCAGAAAAAAGCATTTATAAAAGCAGCAATATCTTTGCTGTTATATATCCTAGGGCAGGGGATGTAAAAGAAAAAATAAACAAATGGTACTACATCAAATTAAAAAGCTTCTGCATGCCAAAAGAAAACATCAGCAAAATGAAAAGGGAACAAACAATATAGAAAAATACATTTGCTAACAATACCTCAGACAAGACTTTGACCTCCAAAACATATAAAGAACTCACATGACTCCACTCCAGGAAGACAATCCAATTAAAAAATGGGCAAGGGACCTGAACAGACACTTCTCCAAGGAGGACATACAGAGTGTTCAGAGACATATGAAAAGATAGTCAGCATCGCTAGCCATCAGAGAGATGCAAATTAAAACCACAATGAGATACCTTGGTCAGAATTATATACCCTGGTCACACTGGTCAGAATGGCCATCATAAACAAATCAAGAAACAACAAGCATTGAGGTTATGGTGGAAACGGAACCCTAGTACACTTTTGGTGGGAATGCAGACTGGTACAGCCACTATGGAAAACAGTATGGAATTTCCTCAGAAAACTAAAAATGAAACTGCATTTTGACCCAGAAATTCCACTGCTGGGATTATACTCTAGAAACTTTGAAACACCAATCCAAAAGAACCTATGCACCCAATGTTCATAGCAGCACAATTTACAATAGCCAAGTGCTGGAAGCAACCTAAGTGCCCATCAGAAAATGAATGGATCAAAAAACTATGGTACAGACTTCTGCCAAGACGAAGGCATAGGTGGAAACACCTTGCATCCTCGCACAACCAAATCTAAAAACAATAAAGTTTTAACAACAATAAACACAACCAAACCACACAGAAAATTGACAATACAGAATCCGAAAACAACAAAATGCTCAGCTAAACTGGTAGGAGAGGCGAAGTCAGCAGCAGAGCAGGTTGGCCAAAAAGATCCCAGACTGCAGTGGTGCGCAGGAAGCTGAGGGTGCGGATCCCAGGTGCGGGCTAGCTACAGGCAGAACCAAGGAAAGAGGCACAGCAGGCTATCTGCAGTAGGTCGAGCATTTGCCTGCAGATAAACCAGTGAAGAGGTGAGCATTGAGACCGCACAACCCAGGGTTGTGGGCTCGCACATTTCCGCTCAGATAAACAGGCGGGGGTGAGCGGTGGGATGAAATGGGCAAGCAGACAGGACTGCCATTGCTCCCTCTCTGACCCCGCCCCCACATACAGTGTCACAAACCAGCAACCTGGGTGGCCCCGCCATGGTAAATAACCAAGGCTCCGCTCCTCATAGGTAACAGGCACAAACAAATAAAAACATGGATCAAGAACAACTCAGAGCCCCAGAGCCGATAAATCTAAGAGATGAAGAAATAGCCAAACTTTCAGATGCACAGTTCAAAACACTGGTGATCAGGATGGTCACAGAACTGGTTGATTTTAGTCACAAATTAGAGGAACATATGAAGGCTAAACTAATTGAAATGAATGGTAATGCACAGGGAACCAATAGTAATGGAAAGGAAATTGGGACTCAAATCAAGGGAGTAGACCAGAAGGAAGGAAAAAAATGACCAAACAGAAAAGAAGGAAGAAACAAGCATTCAAAGAAATGAGGAGAGGCTTAGGAACCTCCAGGACATCTTTAAACGCTCCAACATCCGAATTATAGGGGTACCAGAAGGGGGAAAGGAACAGCCACCAGTGGAAAACTCATTTGAACAAATAATAAAGGAGAATTTCCCCAATCTGGCAAAGGAAATAGACTTCCAGAAAATCCAGGAAGCTCAGAGAGTACCAAAGAAGTTGGACCCAAGAAGGAACACACCAAGGCACATCAGAATTACATTAGCCAAGATGAAAATGAAGGAGAGAATCCTAGAAGCAGCAAGAGATAAGGGGACAGTCACCTACAAAGGAGTTCCCATCAGACTGTCAGCTGATTTCTCAAAAGAGACCTTACAGGCAAGAAGGGGCTGGAAAGAGGTATTCCAAGTCATGAAAACCAAAGACCTACAACCAAGATTGCTCTATCCAGCAAAGTTTTCATTTAGAATGGAAGGACAGATAAAGTGCTTCTCAGATAAGACCAAATTCAAGGAGTTCGTTATCGCCAAGCCCTTATTATATGAAATGTTAAAGGGACTTATCTAAGAAAAAGAAGATAAAGAAACATGAACAGGGAAAGGACAACAAGCTCACAGTTATCAACAACCACACCTAAAACGAAAGCAAACTAAAAGGACAGCTAGATCAGGAGTGAACAATAGAAATGAAGATCACAAGGAGGGTTAGCAACAGGGGAGTGGGAGGAGGAGAAGGGGGGAGAAGGTACAGAAAACAAGTAGCATAGACAGTAGATAGAAAATAGATAGGGGGGAGGGTAAGAATAGTATGGGAAA